AGCACCTCGCTGCTGCTGATATGACACAGTTCATCCAAGATGCTGCCCTCATGAGCTTCAATGCCTTCCCTGCAAACTTCCAGCCGACCAACCCCCTGGATTATCTTCCCGCGACTACACAGGCAGCTCTCCAGGCCAATCTCCTCGAATCAACATTCAACGGACTGCCAATGGACGACCACACACAAGCCGTATGGCCTAACGCCGGAATGGGGGATTGGCAGGAATTTCAGAATACTCTGCAGATGGATGGATTACCTCGGCTTGATAGTGTCGGAAGCAACTCTCCTACCGGTACCTACCTCGAGGTTCTGTCTCTTCCCTCATCCTCAGGCGAGGGCTGGGCCATGGTGGATTGGAATCAGCCCAACTTTGATCAGTTCCAACAAGCTCATGCGCAGGGCGCTGCTATATTCAACCCTTCCCAGACCCTTCACTTGAGAACCAATTCCGATTCCTCCGACGGCGCCAATTCCATGGAGTTTGGAAGCTTCGAGGAGATTGCGCCTTTTCCCTACTCTCCATTCTCTCCCGAGTCTGACGGCTATGTCGATGCTGGTAACCACCGCAACTGCTTCAGCAACGATGGCCAGGCTCACAACCACGCTCACGCCCACGCTCACACACATACCCATGAACCTGTTGCTACCAACACTGTCGCTACCACCGCTGTCGCCACTGTCCCCATCAAGTCTGAACCCTCTTCGAGCCGCCATAGTCCCGGCAGTGGTGCCGGATCTGTCTCTCCATCTTCTAGCAGCACCACCCGCCGTAACTCGGGTCCTCGCAAGAGCCCCATTGCTAAGAGCACCACTAAGAATGTTGTTCGACGTATTTCCAATGGCAAGAAGGATGGTACCGTTGAGAAAAAGGTTGGCCGCAGAAAGGGACCTCTTCTGCCTGAGCAGAGAAAGCAGGCTAGTGAGATCAGAAAATTGCGAGCTTGTCTCCGATGCAAATTCCTCAAGAAGACTTGCGACAAGGGTGAGCCCTGTGCTGGTTGCCAGCCTTCTCACGCCCGTCTCTGGCAGGTTCCTTGCACTCGTATCGACATCAAGGATATTGGTTACTTCATGAAGGACTGGAAGGCCGACTACGAGCGACACATGGACCGTGGTGTCTCAGTCTACAACGTCAAGGGTTTCGCCCAGAAGGAGACCCTTATGTGGATCACCCACGGTTACGGTTTCGCCCTCCCCGTTATGGTTCGCGAGGTCTTTGTTGCCGATGATAGCTGCTTCTCGGTCGACTGGGTTGAGTCCACACTTACCGACCAGGAGCCCATTGACTTCGAGACCCGCACTGAGAAGCTTGACGTTGGTGCCGAGGGTATTCGTCTTGATGCTCTCTCTGAGTATCTTGACAAGCACATTGATGGTCCTTTCGAAGACTTCATTGATGACCACTTCGAGGGTACACCTTTTATCACCGAGATCCTTAAGACCGCTCACCGCTACTATGTCAAGGAGAAGATGCCTGTTATCCGAAAGTCGCTTAAGCTGGTCCTTGCCTACAACCTCACCATGCACATCACCATGGTTGAGAACCAGGGTTCCGAGGTTGACCTCGATGGTCAGATTGACGATGAGGACTCCAAGTACTACGGTCGTACTGTCGCCCCCGTCATGATCAACTTCCAGATCAAGTGTGCTCTCGCCGACATGTGGCGTGAGTTGCAGAAGGATATCCTCGAGGAGCTCTCTGCCCTGTACTCTGGAGTCTACAGTGGTGAGAAGATGAAGAACTGGCCTACCATCTTCATGATTGCCTCCATCCTCCTTGCCGTCTGGGAGGAGATGCAGTTTGATTGCCACTACCGAGTCCCCGACCCTGTTGCCGTCAACAAGTTCTGCACTGACATGGAGACAACACCTGTTGGTGTTATTGTGGGTCTCTTCCACGCCATCTCCCAGAAGCTCCCTGCCTTCACCGACTGGGACACACGCAAGCATGGCCACCTCCTCCACAACAACACCTCGGTCTGCGAGGCCATGACTGAAGTGAGACAGCACGTCATCAAGCACGGTATGTACATCTTGACAGTATTGTTCTTATATCACGTACTAACGACCATCACAGAGGCTTATCTTCGTACCCGCAAGGAGTCAAAGTTTGACCGCTACGACTTCGACTCCCTGTCCAACAAGTTCCTCTCGAAGCTTGTTATCCGGGCCAACTAAGATACTGCTACTCAAGTCACGATGCTATGACACTGTCAAAACATATGATAGGGCACTATAGGAGCCCTCTTTTCCTTTGTTGCATTTGTTTTATCACAGCGAAAGCGTTGACAAGGCCTTTTCAATCTTGGTCAACAGCGACCCCAGATTTGTCCTTTTTGAGCATACGAACATGACTCTAACATTCTATCACGGCTGGTCACCGCCCGACAACACGAAGCTACCTGACACGGGAAAATGTGTTATGACCTTCTTATGACTTTCTTCTATGATTGTATGACTGAAGAAGACAGAGCGTTTTAGTTCTTTTTATCATATTTTATTGTTTTTATTGTTTTAAAGTCTTGGAGAAAGAGAAGAACGACCGTACCATACAGATGATAGCGAACCTCACCCATTTTGTGGTGTTATTACGGGATCATGTTTGACGATGTGGCATTTGAGGAATGATTGAACTCGCATGGCTGATAAGCCTATATGGGAGGTGTGTGTGATTTACAGTGTCTTTGGAGGGCGTTGGTGAGCTCAAGTGGGCTAGACTCGCGACAAGCAGAGCGAAGTCGACGACGAAGAGCAGAGCGAATCGTGTTTTTTATTTTAGCAATTTGTCAAAGGGATATTGGGATAGTTACAAAAAAGGCTCTATGCTTGGCAAGTGCTACAGAGCTGCCACAAGTATATCGAATGGAATTTTTAAACCCTTGAGATTTGAGTCTGAACCGAATGGAATCTGTGAATGAGTGACCAGTGCATGGCATGAGATCTCTGAACGATCAGATAACTCATGTCAGGGGCCGCTCAAGGGGAAGCAAGAAGCCTTGAGATTTTTTTCTCAAGTGATACCCCCTAAGGCCACTCCATTCCTATAATGTTCTGCTTGAATCATTTGAAGTCACAACTTCAGAAGCTACTAAGACAATGTCTCATTCGACACCAAGATATTTCCTAATCCAGGCGCATATTTGTAACGGCTGGAGGGAAAGCGAAAAACACAGTCAGCCATGGCATGAAGTGAAACACCATGGCTGTTTGGCCGGACCGATGGCATTAGACACCCTCAGACATTGTCGAGCTAGGGAAGGAAAGAAAACTCAGGACCTTGCCCGTGAGTGATGAAAATATTAGGTAAATTTAGCCTCAGTCTAAGGGACACTTTGCTGAGTTAATTTTGACACCTTACATCAAGGTTTGGTGTTTTCTTGCCCCCTGAGGCCCGAGCTATCACGGAATCGGGGGCCTGGGTGGTTCACGAGGTTCCTTGCCAACACCACAAAGGCGGGGTCATGATAAGACGCCATGTTAAGCAATGATTGTTTGAGATAAGCTCATTATTAGCTTTGATAACGAATCAAACGAAACAGCAAGACGGTTGCTCCCAGATGAAAGCAACAAGATGGCCACGGCTGGGCAATAAATGCCTTCGAATTCAAGGCATTGCCATCAATCCAAACTCGAAACGTTACCAGCCTCGTTGTGTTGCAGCAAGTTCAAGAAGTTGATGCGAACAGGGTAGTCGTCGAGACAGGGTCCTCACGGGCCAGAATCGCTGGCTGATGACGTCGCGAGCGCCGACAAGACCGGATTCAGCGGGCGGCAGAAGTCGGTGACCACCGGGACATTTGATCTGGATGTTGGACTGAGATTGTTGGATTTTCTGCTGTAAAAATTCATCATTATAGACGGCAAGTGACGTGAGTGCTGGATTCTCGATGCCAGAGAGGTGTCCGTAGAGGTATATCAACTCTCCCGTCTTTAATAATGGTGCTAGACCTGCTCCGTATCCTGTCAAATCCACTTTGAGTTATCTCGGCGTGTTGATCCAGAGCGTTTGCCATCGGTTCCTGATCCAAAGGCTTGGCCACCGAACCTTTAGGGAATGATCACCTGCGACCTCCCAGAAAAGGCCTCGATAGTTAGCCATTCTTTTTAGACAAATTTGCGAAGGTCGAATTGCATCTGTTCGGGACATCCAAGCAAGCATCGCTTTTTTGTCTTTCCCGGGGTAAAGTGGCGACATGCCCGCTCCAGGCTCCGCCACTCCGCTCTCGTGCATCCTAGCGCTAGACCGTGGGTATCTGCTGATGTGAATCACGGTGAGATGGTGAATGAGACGGTAATGGATAAGTGACTGCGTCGGCCTATGGTAAACACTCTTTGACTGATTAGCTAGTGGTTGCAGGTTGTTGATGGCACCTCAGATATAGCCTTGGGTTGAACTTGGGGCCACGGTTTGCTTTTAAATCTCTAAGCGCCTCGAGATCCTCCTCGAAGATGCTAGAGCATGAATGACATCCAAACACCGCTCCTGACATCAGTCTGACTTTCAGCCTTTGGCGAACTTTGGACCCACTTCACGGCGATAAGTGACAGGTCTCGAGTACTTTATATCAGCACGTGAGGTCACATAAATATAAAGTACTTAGGACTTGCTGTGGCGCTCTGCAGCCTGGCCGGATTCTGGAGCCTTCCCTAGTCGCAACCGTCATTCGCTCTCGAGCATGAATCATCCGCCCCCGGAAGCTGCGCTCCTGCCTTCTGGGTTCCAGTGTCTGCCACGCTGCCTTGCCGGTGCCGTTCGTCACTGGCAAGCGTAATCCAGTCACTGCGCCCCCTCTCGCCTGCCCGCCCGCTTGATTATCAAACAAACCTTCCCCCCTCAGTACTTAAACCTCTCTCACCTCTTTCTAACTTCATCCTCTTTTCTTCCCGAAACATCTCTCACACAAGACTTTACTTTCGCTCAAGACCAGCGATAACAAAGACCTTCTCTCATCCGATTACCATATATCCACATCACTTCCGAGACAGATCACCGTCATCATGCAGATCTTCGTCAAGACCCTGACTGGCAAGACCATCACCCTCGAGGTTGAGTCTTCCGACACTATCGACAACGTCAAGTCCAAGATTCAGGACAAGGAGGGTATCCCCCCCGACCAGCAACGCTTGATTTTCGCCGGCAAGCAGCTTGAGGACGGCCGCACCCTCTCTGATTACAACATTCAGAAGGAGTCCACCCTCCATCTTGTCCTCCGCCTCCGTGGTGGTATGCAAATTTGTAAGTTACATCGACCTCATCGCCACACGAACTGCTTCTAACCTGTCCTCATAGTCGTCAAGACCCTCACTGGCAAGACCATCACCCTTGAGGTCGAGTCATCCGATACCATCGACAATGTTAAGTCGAAGATTCAGGACAAGGAAGGTATCCCTCCTGACCAGCAGCGCCTGATCTTTGCTGGAAAGCAACTCGAAGACGGCCGAACCCTTGCCGACTACAACATTCAGAAGGAATCTACCCTTCATCTCGTCCTCCGCCTCCGTGGTGGTATGCAAATCTTCGTCAAGACCCTTACTGGAAAGACCATTACTCTGGAAGTCGAGTCATCCGATACCATTGATAATGTGAAGAGCAAGATCCAAGACAAGGAGGGTATTCCTCCCGATCAACAGCGACTCATCTTTGCTGGCAAGCAACTTGAGGATGGCCGAACTCTTTCGGACTACAACATCCAGAAGGAATCTACTCTCCACTTGGTTCTCCGTCTTCGTGGTGGTATGCAGATTTTCGTGAAGACTCTCACTGGCAAGACCATCACTCTTGAGGTCGAATCCAGCGACACTATCGACAACGTGAAGAGCAAGATTCAGGATAAGGAGGGTATCCCCCCTGATCAGCAGCGTCTTATCTTCGCTGGTAAGCAGCTGGAAGATGGTCGCACCTTGAGCGACTACAACATCCAGAAGGAGTCAACTCTCCACCTCGTTCTCCGACTTCGCGGTGGCCAGTAGGCGATTCCAACGAGCGCTGAGGGATGGATTTTACGACGGCGTTAGGGACTGGCATTGAATTCGAGATCAGGCAACTTCTAGGCCTGTCATGATTATTATGTAGTTTTTGCCCTTACAAATATTCTGCAAGGTGCTAATAGACTATTGAAGTCTACTTGACTATTTGTCATATCTTCTGACTCTATCTTGTTGATTGTGATGTTCCATGTGTTGCCATGTAAGTGTTGACGCTGTGTGGAGTTGCCCCTCAGTTGCCCGGTACTCCACAGTGCAGCCGGGTCATGATGGGTGGGGCTTACATAGAGCTCATGAGCCGTAAGTTCGCAAGTTTAGATCTTTCCTCTTTAAATACTCGTGTACCCACCAAGTCAGGCCTCCTCTTCGTCGTCGTCACTGTCACACCCAGGCATACGATGATTTATAAGTATCGCCCGCTTCACCATCATCTATTTTGGCCTCCTTAGCAACAAACGATACACTTCACTCTATATGCCTAGATCAACTTGAGTTTGCGACCAAGACTTTGTGCATCTTTCTCGAGCGAGCGGTTCAACCGCAGACTGATATATCAGGCTATGCCGTCTTACTTCTATCACCTCAAATTCGAGCTTTATCCGACTCCTGATCCGGTCGCTGCAGCATCAGCAGCTGAAGCTCAAGACGAAATTTGGCTTCCATCTACTGAAGCGGGTGTCTTCGACGACTTTCCATCCCACCCACGACCAGACCGACGAACCACTTATAAAGTTTCGAGATCTATAGATGCCCAGCACTACCCAGCGAACCACGCAACTCCATATACTCTTACAGGGCAAAACTCACCCTCGTCGAATCTCGGTATAATAGATTGTGGCGCAGCCGCGAGGCCATCGGTCAAAGACTCTGGACGGAAAATCGAGATTGTAACCGAAAGACAGTGGCTCGAGCGAGCTAATAGCTTTCCGCCCCCGAACTCAAGTGTCGCGATACATCCACAAAACGCAGTTAGAGACTGGCGGTTTGGCCGTGTTAGCCTCGAGACGGTCGACCTTAGGACTGGGCACGCAATGGCAGGCGAGGCGACCCGAAGTGGCCCTTCTGCGGCTCCTTCACTAGGGCCAACGTTTGGGGGAGCCGGTACAGCGACAAAAGCCGAGTTTCTTCCTCTAGAGACAAAGAATACTGAGCTTGGCTGGGGAGTTGTGCACTTTTACAGAGAAGAAGACGAGACTTCCGGGCTCATCGAGACGGCCCATCAAGAAACTGAAGCGAGTGGCTCAAAGGATACTGACTGCACAACCCTCTGTATACCAGCAGTTCCGGCGTATATGTCGCCAGGTGATCTGATGGGTTTCGTCGGAGAAAAGTGGAGGGGAGATATCAGCCATTGCCGTATGGTTATGACATCGCGGATGAATAGATATCTTGTCTTGCTCAAGTTCCGAAACAATTTTCGAGCCAAGCAATGGCGGAGAGAGTTTGATGGAAAGGTATTTAATACCGTGGAAGTGAGTTACAAAACCTCCATTTCTCTACCCCAATCTCTAACAATGATACAGCCTCAAATCTGCCATGTTGTTTTCGTCAAGAGTATAACATTCGAAACACCAACACGAAGGAAATCAAGCGGAGCTCTTTCCCCCTTATCCTCGTCGGCTGGCATGTCAAGCAGCCTCAGGCCGTTTCCCCCTCCGACACCGAATCTCGTGGAATTGCCAACTTGCCCTGTATGCTTGGAACGCATGGATGAGACAAATGGGTTGATGACAATACCATGCTCTCATGTGTTCCACTGTACATGCCTCCAAAATTGGAAAGGTGCTGGGTGTCCTGTCTGTCGATTCACAAACACCTCACCTAACTCGGAATCAGACCCTTCGGGGCCTCATTCGCAGCCATTTGGGTCTGGAGTCTCGAATCTCTGCAGCATCTGCGATTGCACAGATGATCTATGGATTTGTTTAATTTGCGGCTATGTGGGCTGTGGCCGATACAAAGGTGGTCATGCAAAAGATCACTGGAAAGAGACAGCCCATTGTTTTGCTCTGGAGCTGGAAACGCAGCATGTCTGGGACTACGCTGGGGACATGTGGGTTCACCGACTGATACGAGATAAAGGTGATGGGAAGGTTGTGGAACTTCCTTCGAGAAATAGGTCAGTCGGTCATCTGGAGGAAGAGGATGTTGTTCCTCGAGCCAAGCTGGACAGCATTGGTCTCGAATACACGCATCTTGTCACGAGTCAACTGGAATCTCAAAGGGCATACTATGAAGAACTGATCAGCAAGACCGTCGATAAGGCCTCGAAAGCTTCTGCTGCTGCCGAGGAAGCTGCAGCACAAGCCTCAAAGGCCATGGAAAAGCTGGCAGTGCTCGATGAAAAGTATACAACCCTCAGTCAGGAAACGATACCAGAGCTAGAGAAGCAACTTGCTCGAGAGCGCAACAAGGCAAGCAAGAGCGAAACATTAGCACGCAACCTTGGCAAATCTCTTCAAGAGGAAAAACGTTTGAACGAGGGACTGATGAAGCGGATTGAGCATCTCAACAGCGACCACGAAGCGATAGTCAAAAAATTGGAGAAACTCAAAGGAGAGAATGCTGACCTTCAAGAGATGAATCGCGATCTGAGCATGTTTATATCGGGGCAAGAGAAATTGAAAGAGTTGGAAAATGAGGGCAAGATCGAGGAGGGTGAGCTTGAAGGCGGCAGCGCAAGTGTCCCAGAGAAGAAGAGCCGGCGACGGGGAAAACGCTAAGTGCTCAAGGTCATTGGATTGGAGTTGGATATTTCCCAGCGTTGCTTTTGATTGATTCGGATTTAACAAAGCGGGGGAGGACGTCTGATTATCTTTAATTACTACTAATACCAACTACAGCTTTGAAGCATCGTGACAACTTTCAGCACATGACCATTCATGATGTATAAGGTGTACTTCCTTGTGGTGAGAAATGATATCTACCCTATGCTTACGACAAAAATATGAAAAGTGACTACTCAGTAGTTACAGCATAACGCATCACAGTTGCATATTGAAGCAGGGGTTTGTTGTAAGATGTGTAGCATTATGCAGCTGTACAAAGGTCTAGAATACCCAGCCCAGCATCTCGCCGCTCGTCTATTCTCTTCTATCAAAATCTGAAGATCCTTTCGGCCTCGGGATGAGCAGACGGTCTTACGGGTTGGGAGGCACGGCAATTTCATAGGTACCCAAGCTATATATAAGGTAGTGCACACCCTCGTTTTGATGGTGCATGCATTAGAGGCCTCAACTGCATTGATACCACTTGACTGGGCATTTTTGTTGGGACTTAGCTAATAGCCATAGACAAGATTTGCGCCAAGCAGCTTTTACTTGTTTTCAACATATCTTAATCTCTAGACTTTTTGTGGCTGTAATGATTGAGACTCCGATGAAGAGTCAACAATTAACATGTGAATACAGGTGCACGGATGCGTTTTTCTCTTCCTTGTTCATGTTTCTCGGAAATTCGCAAAGAGAATTCGGTAAGGGACCCATATGGAGAGGCACTGTAGCGTGATGGAGCGGATGGTTCCGGGGTTGAGCAAACCATCAGTGGCTGGGGTGGTGACGATAGTGGTGTGAATTAACTTGTGATTGATTGATCGATAGGTGACTCGGGCTTGTGATCTCTCGGCAGGGCAAAGGGGGCAACGGGACGGCACATATCTCTGTTTTTGATGCAGTTTAATGATAGAGATTGGAGCTCTTGACAGTAAATATTGTCATACTGTTCATGCAGAACCGTTATTTGTGGCTTGTGACCGGCATGCTCGGGTTAAACAATGTCTTTGATGCTATTATACTGACTGCGCAAAAACCCTGGTGCTCCTTATAACCTGCACCATCCCGTACCGTACCGCACCGGATCTCCAATGTAAGTGGAGTGATGATAAACAGTTTGCAGGGGAAAAGCGCCGAGTGCGAGTACGGGTTGGTACGGGGTTTGCGCCGCAGACTATAGTCCATAGGGCTTGGAAGTATATATCCTCGGTCGTCAGAAGGGTTCGCAGACGGGCGATTGCAACTAAAAAGGAAGCTCGTAGACGACAAGGACAGAGTAAGTAACAAAGAAAAGACTCGAGAAAAGGAGCCAATTGTGACATGCCAAAGCGAAATGTAAAGTGCCGTCGGTTTTAACTCGTCCTATGAAGATCATAGCTTGTCAGCTTTAAAACCGGCCTTTCCTTACTGGGCAGACACCTCTCCCTCCATCACGTACGGTAAGGTACCTTCCCCTCCTTGAGGTGCAGTACATTCTGTTCCCAACCCCAGCAGCCCCAGCTGTTTCTCCATTTCCATTTCCATTTCCATCTCCATCCCGCATCTTCTTTCACATCCTTCACCCTTGTCCTCCCAGGAATGCAGACCTCTTTATAAAACCAACACCTCCGAGCATTTGTATATATTATCTCTCGTCATATTTCCGCCCGACCGTCCATTCCCATAACTGAGGCCCGCCGCCCCTCATATCGACCACAACTCGCTTGTCTAGCTCTGTCGAAATTTTTATTGTCCAACATCTATCCACAGCTCGATTTCGAAATATCGTTTCGCGCGCCTGTTCTAATAACGCTGGGCTCTTCAACGCAAGCCCGTAATGTCTAAACATGCTGGGACAAAGGACGCGGCAGCGCCGCAGTCCTCGACGAACCCAACCCCGCAGAAGGAGCTCTATCCTATGGTGAACTGGAAGTACGATATGTTCCTCTATACCGTTGGCAACATCGTCGATATGTTCTTCCGTGAAGTTGTGCCTCGAGGTGCCTGGCGTGTTCCTCAGACTGGACCTGTTCTGTTCGTCGCAGCGCCACATGCCAATCAGGTTAGTTGTGTATAATATGGGGAGCTCGTGTTTAAAGATAGAGCGCACCACGGATATGTTGCACAAGGCAGGACCATTTAATAACTCGCAATAGTTCGTCGATGCGATCATCCTTCAACGTACCCTCCGTAACGAAGCTAAGCGGCGAGCGTCCCTCCTCATTGCCCAAAAATCAGTCCACGGCTTCATCGGATGGGGCTCGCGACAAGTTGGTTCAGTTCCCGTCGGTCGCGCTCAAGATGCTGCCAAGCCAGCTACTGGCACCATCTACCTCCCCGATCCTATCAACGACCCAACCCTTGTTCGAGGTGTCGGTACAAAATTCGGAGAGGGAGAGGGCGAGGTTCAGGGCATGCTCTTCCTCCCCTCAACTAAGAACACCAGTGGCGCCAGCGTCGATATTTCTCAGATTATCGGTCCCGAAGAGATCCGTGTCAAGCGACCTTTTAAGGGCAAGATCGCTCTGCAACAACTCACAGGCCGTGACGATATCGATAAAGATGGGAACTTCACCAACAAGGACGTAAAGGGTCCTGCTCCAGGTTACCAGGGCACCAAGTTCAAGCTGGCACCTCACATTGACCAAACCAAAGTTTACGAGGCCGTCTTTTCTCGGCTCTGCAATGGCGGCTGTGTTGGTATCTTCCCCGAGGGCGGTAGCCACGATCGCACTGAACTTCTACCTCTCAAGGCTGGTGTCGCCATCATGGCCCTTGGGACTTTGGCCCAAGATCCCGATTGTGGCCTTAAGATTGTCCCTGTGGGAATGAATTACTTCCATGCTCACAAGTTCCGCTCGCGTGCGGTTGTTGAGTTCGGTGCTCCGTTTGAAATTCCTCGTCACCTCGTTGAGCTCTACTGCAACAACCAGCGTCGTGAAGCCATCGGCCAAGTTCTTGATACAGTCTATCAAGCTCTGAACTCTGTCACCGTCTCTGCACCCGACTACGACACACTCATGGTCATCCAGGCCGCTCGCCGACTCTACAACCCTACCGGCAAGAAACTCCCACTTCCTGTAGTGATCGAGCTTAACCGCAGATTATGCATGGGATATGAGCGATACAAGAACGATGAGCGCATTACGTCCTTGTCTGCCGCTGTCAAAGAATACAACTCTCAATTGCGGTACCTCAACCTGAAAGACCACCAAGTTCAGTATGCCAAGATGAATATGCTCAAGGTCATATTCCTTTTCATCTACCGGTCAATCAAACTACTCTTCCTCTTCATCTGTACATTGCCAGGTCTGATTCTCTTCTCGCCTGTCTTCGTGGCGACCAAGATCATCAGCCGACAGAAGGCTAAGACAGCTCTGGCGGGCTCTACAGTCAAGATTCGCGGCCGCGATGTCATGGCGACTTGGAAGATCCTTGTGGCAATCGGGTTTGCACCCACTCTCTATCATATTTACTCGGCCATTATAACTTTCAAGGTGTGGCAAGACCGTCTCTGGGGTTATGTTCCTGAGGGAGTACCGCTTCTGGTGGTTTACTTCGCATTGTGGCCCTTTATGGTTGGTATCACTTTTGCATCACTGCGTTTTGGTGAGGTTGGTATGGATATTTTCAAGTCTCTGCGCCCACTACTCCTCTGCTTGACACCAACCTCCAACTACAACATCCACAAGCTACGAGAACGACGAGCCGAGTTGAGCGCTCAGGTAACAGATGTTATCAACACGCTGGGGCCTGAGATGTTTGATGACTTTGAAAGGGCACGACTTGTGCCTGACCTGTACAAAGCCGAGGGTGGCTCAAGCACAACCACCAAGGCACATCGCCGCAGAGACAGCGACCAGTCAAGTACTGGCTATGAGCCTGAGACCCCACCAGCTCTGTCGCGACGAAGCACGACACAGTCTAGCCGAGCTCTCCCGCGCAACGATTCCTTCAGCAATATTGGTCACGTGGGAATCTTCTCTACACGGCCGCCTTCCAGAGCCCGTAGCAGGTCGAGATCAAGCAGCAGCGGGGGTGGGTTCGGATCTGGTGGGTTCCCTATCAGTGGGTTCACCACTTTGGACTCTTCAGGTGGATTTGATGAGGCGAGTCGCAAGATTCGAGAGGCGATGAAGAATAGGCGACATAAGACAGATCAAGAAAGGACAGAGGGTGACGACGAGGATGACGACAGTGAAGAGGAGGGATATGATGAGGCTAGAAAGAAGAACGCGTAAGCATTGAAAAGCGCATGACAGGCAGAGGCGACCATTGGGAATGGGAAAGCTACAAGCAGCTATAGCTAAACATTTTGTATTATTTGAATAGGCTACCGCATAGCATGATTCCTTTGCTGATTCTTTGAGGAACATGAGTGGCCTGAGTGACACGAGGACAGAGATTTTTGAAGGAGGATACCTAGTTTTCGGATCTTGACACGACCGTTACATCTCAATCTTGAGTTTAATTAAAACCTTAATTATTCTATAAAGAATGAGAAACCTGGGGCTACGGGCCAGTCCAAAGAAGTGTGTTTGCACAAATGTTGTAATTAATTCTGGGGTTCGTCAGAGCTGGAAATTGGAGACCGGGGTTTGATGAACCCTGACGGTTGAAAATGACAGGATCTGATAACTTTTTTTGTGGGAGCCGATGCAATCTAATGACGTGCCCATGGGCCATGTTACCAGGCTGTCAGGCTCGGTGATCGGAGATAGACGGGGGAGACAAAAGAGCGAAGGAATAAAGCGAAATGTTTGGGTTATTTGAAGCCATAGGAGACTCGATTTTGGTAATGCAGAGAAAAAGAAACGATCTCACCATTTGAATCATCCTCCATTTCGGTACCTGCCTACCTAGGCAGGTAAATTATTTGGCTACAGCGTACGGAGTACAATTAATTATCTGATCGATCATCTGATTATCAATCAGTAACATCTCCAAAAGCTTGCTGGTATATCCATTACCAATTAATTAATCAAGTGGATCAGTGCCAATCAAACTGTCCCATTCCGAACCGAACCTACGGCATCTGGAGACGTCAACGGCCCTAAAATCTACCGAAAGATTGGATCTCTTATTACAACATGACCCTATCATCCTCATCCACACACGACAATCCCCCTCCCCTTACCTCCCCCTCAACCTCCATAACAGCCGCTGTACCGTCCTGGCTTCCGCAGCACAAGCCCGCAAAGCAGAGAATGGCCCTCTCACTAAAGAACCTCATGGGCTCCGTGCTCGGCGGAGGATCTGCAAAGCAGGACACCAAGCCCTCGTCTTCGGAGCTGTTCGCCAAGACGGATCCAAAAGTAGACGGCGAGGAATGCCTACACGACTGTGAAAACTGCTCCGTGAGGTATCCCCGAGGCTTCAAGATTGAGGAGGAGGATGTGCTGTATGGACTTGTTGAGCCTTGGAGTACGCACCTCCTTGTTGGAACAGGCAAGACGGACTGGGTGAGGGATGTGGCGGATGAAAAGGGGAGTGTAATGGAGGCTTTTTCTAAGGCCGCCGAGCCTGCGAATGGGGTGAGTCTTTATCTCATATGAGTTGATGTATGAGACGAGGGTATTTTGCCTCACTCACATCATCACTCATGAATCTTGATGATTGAAGCGCTAACAATCACAGAAACTCAAGCTTTCGGCATCCAATATGCCGACGCCTCATGACACAGATGACTATTCTGAGCCCACAACTCTTTTACTACTGCCAGCCTTCAAGCTTCTTAACAATGTCCACCCTCTCAGTGTGCCTCAGATTGTCACCGAAGTTATCAACCGGGCACCGACCAGCACTTCTCCCCTTCACCCCACGCCGCTCCCGGCCTCTCTTCCGTCTCCCGACCCGGCCGCCGGGATACCGGATGTGTCTCTGAAGGACTGCCCTCACAACGCTGTGATTCTTATGTGCAGTCACCGAACACGCGATGTGCGTTGTGCACAGAGTGCGCCGATTCTGAGGAAAGAGTTTGAGCGCCAGCTAAGGCCGTTGGGTCTGTATCGAGACTTGCATGATGAGAGGCCTGGCGGTGTTGGTATCTACTACATCAGCCATGTGGGAGGACACAAGTACTCTGCCAACGTCATGATCTACCGACGGCCGAATGCGTTTGGTCTGGATGATCCGGTTCCTGCGCAGCAGAATGGCACAAATGGCGTTGAGAAGAACGGCAATGGTACGAACGGTCCAGCAGAGGAGAGTGTGGGCGCATCGCAGGGCATCTGGTTGGCACGCGTCATGCCTGAAGACTGTGAGAACTTGATCCGATATACAGTCTTGAGAGGCAAGGTGGTCAAGCCTGAGCGTCAGCTACGAGGTGGATTTGATCGTGGCCGAGGCGTCATGAGTTGGTGAGAGGCGAAGTGATAAGAGATGGAATGTTCCGGAAAGAAAGGTTGATTGAGGAAGAAAATACCCACGGTTCAACATGATGGGAGGTTCATCAAGCAGGGAGGCTAGACTTTTGTTACATGGCGATAAACCGCTTCGATGATCTGTATAGAGTATACGACATAGACAGCGACGACGATTGGTTTCTGAAGGATTGGCGATATCGAGGTTACAACCGAACTTTGTTGACTCAACCTTGTCCCGTTGCACTGCGCATCTACCGTCACATAGATTTCGTCAACATGAACGATGAAACCGTAAAAATAAAGTCAAAGATACGCTCTCACAAATCCCACAATTTTATCTCATCCCTCAAAAGTCAATTCCACTGGATCTCGACCCCAGCGTCAAGCTCTGCAGGCCGCGTCGTCAACCTCCTCGATACTGCATAGAGGACCTTGTTGGAGAAGAGATCTGCGCGTACCTGCAGAACAAAAGAGCCTCGGTCATGGCACGTACTGTATTTTAGACAATGATTGGTGGTGGAGAAAATAGGGAGAGTTGAGACTTGAAACAAACCTAACGGTGCTGACTGTCAGGGGATAGGCTGTGGGGCATGTGTTTTACTGGAGGTGAATTCTCCGTAGGTGCTCCGTAGGGACTGGTGGAGATGGGTTTTCACGTTGTTTCTTTGCGTTACGCGTCGTTTGTTAGAAGGCTGTGGGTTCAATTATGGAGACGGATAACTCTTGTTTTTGCAAAAGATGTCATACTGTGACTGTGTTGATCGTGAATCAAGAATATTGCAGGCAACAATATTGAGGTATCTAAATAAAGAAAGACGATATTAGTATAAAAATTAGTAATTGATGAACAACTAGAGTCGTTAAGCATAAAATCATAAGTCTCCGTAGTATATACATATAAAATGCCACAGCTTGCCATGTATCAATACCGTCCAAGCATTCAGCAAAGAAACATCCAAGACGAGACAAGCTTTTACCCTTCCGTACCCACCCATGTAAGCTTCATCAAGAGATACAGACTATCCCCAACTACCGGTCCTCCATCGGCCACACCGGTTCACTCAGCTCAAGACTCCCGGCACTGTGGAGAGTCAGTCAACTCACACGCATGATCCTAGCCTCTCATTTTCTCACATTCCATGATCTAACTTAACTTGCGGCTGATCACTCATGGGTCTCTCGGTATATTCCTCCATCACGGTAAGGATGTGCAGAGCTACCAAGGGGGAAAGTGGTCCGCTGTAGCAACAGATATATAACACCGCCTACAATCTCGTCAAAAAACAGGTTCTTGTGTATTCCCAGCCCATCATTTCTTCTCTATTCTTGACAACATCGTCCTGGTCTGTGACCTACTAAGCTATCCTTATCTTACATCCTTGTTGTTTGAGCTGGCCTCGTTCGTTATAAAAGACTTGAAGTCGTTACCATTCTTTCTCATCCCTCAGATCAAGCAACCTTTTCTGTCACTACCTTGAACAAACCGCCAAAATGAAGACTGGTTTCATCGCTTTTGCCATTGCCGCCGCGGCTCCCCTTGCCATGGCTCTTCCTTTCCCTCGTGAGTATATCTCTTGTTCATTTTGTCCGACCAGCATATTGATATCCATACAGAGGCCGCCCCTGGAGGCTTCTTCCCTCCTCCTCCTTCTATGAACGGCACTCAGCCTGGAAACCATGGCCACTACGGCGGTGGTCAGAATGGAGGACCTGGTAGTTGGCTGCCCCAGCCTGGCAACGGCCAGCAGCCTGGTGGTAAGTGACTAGTGCATGAGAGAAGTTGAGCTATACTGATTATTAGCAGTTCCTACTCCCGGACCTACCCCTATCCCTACTCCTCCTCCCATGGTTCCTGTCCCTCCTCCTTCTGCTTCCACTCCTCCTGCTGTCCCTCAGCCCCCTCCCGCTGCTCCTACTAAGCCCATCGTGGCCCCAACTCCTACTCCCGTTGCCCGCAAGTAAGGGTCATGGTGACAACTTCTCGAACAAAGTTTTCAGATACGCATATATGATTGTACATAAATGAAGGGATGAGAGGCCTAGGCTAGATTTCTTACCGATGAATAGAATGCTGCAAGTCGGCCTCTGAGTTATCTACCACTTAGTTGTCTTGATCATGTGTCGTCATGTATGTAACTCTCGTGCCTCCAAACTGAATGAAGCCATTAGAAACCCGTACTTCTACGGTACTTCGAATTAGCCTTCAGTGACATCCGAAAGACATTCACAATTTCGTTTGGGTTATGAAAAGTGAGAGTTGCCTCATTGAGCGAACTTCCAACAGCTAGGCCAATCAGAAATAAGAATCTTCTCGACAGGGTAAGCTGCACCGAATAAGTCACACCTGAGTCGTCCTTGAACAGTGACAGTTTGAAAGACACGATTCTAATATTCGAACAATTTATCCGTGGAAGGCTTCATGTCGAAGGCACTTAAATCACGTAAGTAGAACCCAATCTGTATCCATTACAGAGATTTACGGCAACATGCCATACCATTTTGTTTTCGTAGCTGGATTCACCTTGAAATCTAAACCCTCCCGAACCTTATGATCAATGCTCTGCTAATCTGTCTAGACAGAGCTTAGCCTGCGCTGTAGAACCCGAGAGGCGTCAATTTCTATCCTTGGGTATTCTCATGGACGATGTCATTCTCCTCATCCCTCAGCAAGTCTCGTTCTAATCTTCAATAAGTCGCTCTGAACTAGAAGACGCGTAACTACTCGACTCATCACTGACGTTTCGAAAATGGCAGTTAGCTGCCACTTCTTCGTGATACTTGACGAACTCATTACGAAGTTGGACGAATGAGTCGGAGCCCTCCAGCCGGGCTAGCTCACGGCGTCCGGTCTCGATAAGCCCCTTGATTTCGGCCAATCGCATTCGTTTCTTGACGACTGTTTGACTGAAGAGATCTTGACTTCTATGACTCGGGAACGGGTAGTGCCCGTTGCTATGGGCAGGGAAAATCTCGAGGTCCTCCAATATTCCCTCGCCAAATTCCATGTAGTCGCGAGGGTCCATTATGAAACTGTTCCAGCTATGCTGATCATCCTTTTCAATCATAAGAATGAGTTCGTTCCTCCAAGCCTGGTAGTCTTGATAAACCTCAAAGTACTTTCCCTCAAGGGCCTTGAGGGCTTTCCTTACACGCTCATGATACTCAGGGCTGGTCTTCTTCAGGCCATCAGGATCACGAGTGTTCTTGAAGCTGTAAAAGTGAGCATAAGGGAATTCCTGGTAACGTGAAATGTTGCTAGTCCTCTTGCTGGTGTCAAAATCATCGACATTAAGCTTAGAGGCCTTCTCGATAAGATCTGGCATCAGGAACCCGGGATTCGCCATTGTAGTGATTTGAATAGGAGTGTTCCTAAGGATATGTTTGATATATATGAATAGTTGAAGAAACTGTGAGGCCAAGAAGGGAGGATTTGTGTGTTATGGACCTCTCTTTAAATACGCACTTAGAGCTATGTGTCACTGACAAGTCAGGTCTGAATAAACCACCAGGCGTTGTTGATCAGGACCAGTATGTGATGATTCAAAGAGCAATGTTTTGCGTTGACGTTCAGAATGATTTATGACTGAAGCCTCTGAACAACGGCACAACTGATCATTGTTGTAAGCGATACATATATGTATTGTTTCATTCACATGCCATACTAGGCCTCCTAATCGTTAACCAAGTCTATCTTCCATACAAAATGCGTTGCCCATATGCCAAAAGGTCATAAACATATTCCAAAAACACATAACCCATTCAATGTCGCCATGATATTGCGCCGTGACCCAAACATGAGTGATTCATAAATCAACCATCCAGATATTACCAACCCGCCCACATTCCACCATGATTTTATGTTGTATCCAAAACAAGTGGCAGCAAATAACCACGAAACCGCTGTGCTCAAAAGTATAAACAAGGGAAAAGAACCACCACTGGGTATAAAGCGTGATAAGGGGATGGGACTAGTCGGCAATGTCGCGGCTGGAGTGGCTGCTTGATGTGCCGCTGCCTGTCACGCTCATGTGGTTCTTGGCCATAGAGACGAGCTTCCAGATACCGAAGGACACGGCTGCTAAGATAATGAAGAGAATGATAATGATGATGGCGATAACGTCGTTCTTCTTCATGTTGGCGGTCGAAAGTGGGTCAATCGGTGAGAGAGGTTGATGTTGTGTATGGTGAGACTTTGGGTCGTAGTGTTGCAATAAGTTGAGATTGTCTTTGTTGCGAACAATGGATTCAAGAGCGATGTTTCAATCTGAGACAGTTAGTTCAAGGGTCCAATTAGACTAGACTGCTGAGGCTCATGGGGTAGACATACCCAGTCAAGAATTCTGTTGTGATAGAGTATGAGTAGAGTTGAAAGTCCGAGTCAAGAGGTTGGAGTAGAGTCAACGTAGTGCAACCAGATGAACCAATCAGTCACAAAAGTCGTACAATGGAGAGTCGTTACAGTCGTAAATGTCCAAAAATCTCTCAATTCTTTCTTTATTCAAGAAAATAAGTCGTAAGGTTCGTTTCTTAGAAAAAAGATAAACAAGATCAGGAACTGGAATGCGCAGTCTCACTCATAAACGACCGCTCACTCTATTATAAGTCGTTGCCCCGCCACCGTCTTTTTCTTACAGCCCAAAAGCCAGTAAATGGCAAGGCTGGGAAGGGGGGGGAGAGCTAAGCTCGCTGCAAGGGTCCCGCTGTGGAGACCTTCAGGGGCCTCTGACACGCTGGAACGTCTTTGGACTTTTCCCAGCCTCGCAGAAAACGTCACCTCAGGACCTTTTTTTAATTGACCGTTGTCGCGTCGAGACGCGTCCGACTGACTATAGGCCAAGGATCATGAAGTGACCCTGCCTGATGTGCCGCACTTCCACGGAATGCAAGGTACGAGTCTGACATCTTCACATGAATGAACCCAATGCTTGCACAATGCTTGCAATTAATTCATTGTGACTCAATTGCGTAACCAACACGCTCTCTCGTAAAAATACAGGCTTCAAATGCACATGCTACGTGCGCCGTGTTTCTCCATGATGTGATATGTTGTCAAGTCTTGTCTGAATACCAGTATTCCGCTCCCATTCCGCGTGAAGACGCATGAAAAGTCAAATATCAAAAAAATAGAAGCCCATCCGCGACTTAATGGCTATCGCCCATAACGCCGTTCCATCCACAGTCACATCGATAATCAGTACAGAACGGATACCTTATACGGCTGCGTCTCACCCCGATTCCCCCGTCCTTCTTGTTCAAGTCTCGCTAGTTCTCTGCGCCATCGACAAGAGCCTTGTTCTCATCTCTAATGATCTTGACATGGCGCTCGTAGAAGCGGAGCATCTGTATTACCTCTCGTCAGCAAAAGCAAAATCGTCAAATCTCCAAATCAATGACCTTTTGTGGGCATTTCTTGTAAATAACGTCGGTGTCGTGCTTGGTCTTGCGGCCGTTCTTCCAAATAAGATAAACGATCAACTTGCCACTGCCTTCATCCTCGCATGCATCAATGGTCTCGATCTCCTCCTCCCAGGACCCTGCTGGAGGACTCCAACTCTTCGCTGTCGCCGGAGTGGCAGAGTTGGCCGGGTGCTCACGTCGTGATCGCTTGGCCGTAGACGTTGTGCTGGGGGTACCATTGGTGGTGGCGCGGCGGCGCTTCTTCGTTTTTGATGCTGTCTCATGCTCTTCAAATAGTTTCTCGCGTCCGCCGTATTTTTCGAAGTAGGCGTCGAGGATCTCCTGGGCGGACTCTCTGGGGAGAGCATGTCAGACAAGGCCTTGAGCAAGTCATGCGACTCCATCACCTACTTAAGATTCTCCTCAGGCTCCCATGTTAAGTCTTTCTTGGCCTCGTAGCCTTCCCACTTGACTTGGAATTGTAGACTTCCCTGCGGTCACGGTCAGTATGTGATATATAATTGGGCTATTATTCCCTACGTCGTCGTAGACCATGTGCTTTTTGATAGCTTCCACAACAAACCTGCAGCATGTGAGCTATAGCCCTTTCGATAGGCTCACTGATATCTTACTCATCCTCTTCCAAGTCTTCATCTTCATCGCCTTCCTCCTCGTCGGAAGCCGGTCCCGCTTTCATATCGTCGAGCTCATCGACCGCAGCAGCCGAGGTGGACTTCTTGCGGCTGCTCGCGCGAGGAGGCGTGGTGAACTCCCCAACGTCGGAGGATTCCTCGTCACTAAGAGCTGCGCAATAGTTAGCAACGGCAGGATACCAATTGCGCCGAAAAAAGGGCTATATTGTGGTGGAATCGGAGACGCGATCGCCATGTGCCCATCGCCCGTCGCGTGCGACAGGCGTCGGCGGAGGTGAATCACGCAAAAATAACAATGGTAACATACCAGGGGGCATTTTTGATGTTTCTGACTCACGTGTGCTAATCTACGTTGAAATATTTTGTAAATGGCTGTAAAATTACAGTGTTGATGGTATTCGAAAACAAGCGACGGCTGCACTTCAATTCCGCGACTGAAGAAATCACGATCTGTGAGGTGAGGTAGTCGCGCTTCGCTGTAGAGCTATAACCCGCTTTTGGAGGAGGCTGTCTCTGTGGCTGTAATTGAGTTGTGGCGCAGAGCATGTGACCCGACGACAACCTCTGATGGAATGCTTCTCTTTTCCAAACTTCATGGCTAGTCCCGTGCGACTCTGTCTCATCGGCGTGTTACAATTCTCGCCAAATTGCCGGCTACACTTTGTTTGTTCTACCTCCATCGCTGGACTTCCCACTGTTACCTGTCAGCTATTTCGCCCCCTGTAAAGTGACTGGAGGACAAATAAAACCGATGATTAGAAGTTGGCCAATTCTACTCCGTAGAATCAAACAAAAGCAAAGTTGGCTGAATTCGCAAGTAAGATGCTACTTCTAAATAAGGAGATATTGTTACAGACTAGTATGCCAACAACTTGATGCCAATCAGCCCTCTTTCTTTTTGTTCATCTCGCGATGACTTGGCAGCAAACGCCAGCTTGAACTGCAGTGGATGGCAACTAGTAACAAAGCAGTAGTTGATTGGTACACTGGCGGCTATCATGTACCCGGTGGGCTGAGAACAAGATAGTCCCAGGTTAAGTAGAGCTATTTGCCATCTTGTCGCGCTTGCGGCTCAAGTCAGGGGTTAACAAGAGACAAACAAATGAAGCTCACCGATTAAGCTTTGCCGATGCACTGGATGTTTCCTGCTCTATACCAGAGTCTCTGAGCTTCTCAACGTAGAAAGTAAACCCGGCCTTGGACTGAACAGGCGAATGGGGTTGATAAATTGAGACCGTGAAAACACGGATGGAAGTGCGGATGAGAATTGCCGAGGATTGTTTTACCAGATGAAAAGCCAACTCCAGAGAAGCAAGTTGCGCTGCGTCAGTTGAAGTAAGGAGCTGCAGGCTGTAATTAAAGATTGCAAGTAAATGACGACTGAGTGGCTCACTGATCTCTATGTGAGATAGTGCTGCTGCAGTGTTAAAGGGGGTTGCAGAAGCTCACCGTCTGCTGGTCCTATGTCGTGTCTCGGACATGGATCCTACGCCTAATAGCAACCCCATGGTCGGTGCCACCCATGCTTCTACTTGAAGGCCAATCTTTGTGCGAGTTCGGGCGCCTAGCGCTCAAGGACTGCCGATGGCAGCGTCCAGTCGGTTCAGAATTTGTTTCCCCAGGCCACCTCAGTCTTCTTTGTTCGGGGTTCAGAGATGAGATGTCGTTGGCTGCTTGGATCGACAGATGTTTGAACCTTGTACCAGTTTTATCATTTGTCTTTGGTTGAGACATACCCGACACTTGCTTCCTTGCTTTGACTTTGCTTTAGCACTAAGCTTACATAAAGGGGCTGCACTTGGGGAACCAACTGAACCCACTCTATTACGATATGCAGGATTGAGGCGTCATCAATGGCGGGCTGAAAGTCCAATTGACAAAGGCAACCAGACGGTGGATGTAAGGGATGTCATGTAAGGCTCAGAGTAGCAGACGCCAGATCCACGATCTATGGGATTAAGGCCGATCTCAAGGCATTATGTATGTGGTGATTCAATAGACACATCCATACATGATTTTCGCTTTCGTATGAAAATGAGATCGTATAACGGGCTGGATCTTAACAAGCTATCAGCCTTTCTAAAACTTTGATTGACAGCAATGCAAGTGGAGCTTGTGAAATAACCAACGGTCGTGTTGAGTTTACCGTAATTCAGTCACATGGGAATGGAGAGTTATTTACGCCGTTACGGAGCAGTTAATAGAATTTTAGCTAAGGCGGCCATAATTTTAGAATGAGAGATTGTCGTATTTATAGCTGCATATCCTCCTCCCTTTTAGCGACCCTGAGCCGATCACCACCAATGCCGATGCCCAAATTGAGATGGCAATGGGACTTTTGATCAAGTTCACACATTCTCGAAAACATTGTCTTCTAAGAGTTATTTCCAATTGAGTTTGATCTCTACAGATCACATCATTTCTGAAGATCTCACCGTTGCAACCCCCTGGGACCAGAGTGCTCGCCCTGCCCTCGCAGGAACCACAGCGTCTGGAGCATCCATCAGCGACAGTTGCACCTCCCGACGGCGCTAGGACGGACCTCTTAGAGCAGCCCGATCAGCGCTAAGCGAGCAGCGGGAGAGACATCCAGACGGCGGGACGGCCACTAAGCGTCAGGGGTACCGTTGGTGCTAACAGCGCCAATCTGGGGCCTGGGGGTCTTGGTTGGATCCGCCCCTGAACAGCCCGGAGGAGGAGAGGAGCGAGGAGGCTTTATTTTAAAATGGAGAGGGGGAAAAAACCAAAGAACAATTAAACCTAGCGATGCTAAGAGACCTGGCTTCCCCTTTAGTCTCCCGCCGCCTCTAAACTTCCTTCTATTGCCTTAACCTCTCGAACCTCTATCTTTCTTTTCCTTTCATCCTCCATTTCCTTCTTGTTCTCCCTTCCCGTCCGCTCTTTTAGACTCTCTCTCAGCTTCAGAACAAGCTTCCCACCGCCTCATTTCACTCCTTCAACAAACTTCATGCTCTGTAATTTTGCATGAACGTCCATTGAATTCCCTTACGCCCGGAGGTCTCGGCCCCAATACGCTCGTTCTTTTCTCTTCAACCTTCGCTCGCTACTATACTTATGATTGACGCCTGTAACGCTCCCCAATTGGAGCTGCAGCCACTTTTTACGCTCTTGTAGTTACTGCCTACCGAGACCTTTCCCCAACCGCCACCGTATTTTCGTATCCTTCCCCCCCTAATTTTCGATATTGGGCCCTTCTGATACCTACCTATTCTCAAAATGCCCGAATCTACGCCCCAAACGGCCGACTCAGGAACACCCAAGGCTGGTGCCCCTAAGGACAAGAATTGCCCCTTTTGTGGCCAAGCTTTCACCTCTTCTTCGCTCGGTCGCCATCTCGATCTGTATATCAAGGAGAAGAACCCTAAACCCGCCGATGGAATTCACGATGTCGATGCTATCAGAAAGCTTCGCGGTGGCATCACCAGACGACAGCCCCGAGGTTCTCTTGGCGGGAGGCGAGAAGCCTCAACTCCAGTGGGAACGCCCAGGGCACACGTCATAAAGGATACACCCCTTCCCGAGAATGAAGACTTTCAGTCTCCAGTTCTCTCCAAGGATAATCAGCTCTCTGTTGATTCGACCATGACATATGCGCCAGCTTTTCAGCCGACATGGGAGGCGACGGGCGTTATGAACGACATCCCGAAACGGGGCAGCTGGGAGAGCGATGCCGCACCCGAGCCACCAAAACGCCCTGGTATGCAACGTACTGTTAGCAAACAGGCCATTCAAAAAGCCCAGTTTGATGTCAAGCAAAAACTTTCAGACGCCATGGATACAGCCCGTGCCGCGGAGCTCGCGTTAAGGGAGCTCCTCAGCTCTTGGAGAGCAGCCAAGTATGACTTCACGTCTCTTTTAAACATTCATTTTGCTTCTGTAGTGCTAACAAGAGGAACAGGGTACAACTTGACAGCAACTCGATGCCATTCGATTTCGATCCCCTATCTCTCGATTTCCCTGCCCTCACTCTTCAATGCCTACAGCCTCCACCGACTCTTTTTTCGTCCACACAACACCCCACCTCCACATCTTGGTCAGTCCAATCGCCAGGTCACCGCGAATACGAGGCTCTGCGGACTTACTTCGCAGGAGAGTTCAAGGCTTGGAAGGTGACCTGTGCTTCTGCTACCACCGCCGTCATGGACGAGTTCAAATATCCCCCTTCGACAAATAATAATTTCCGAAACCCTCGGGAGTCGATCCGCAAGGCTGAGAAAATGGCCGAACAACTTGAGGCGCAAATCGATGAACACCTCCAGTCAGCCTACGCGGTATGGGAGACTCTCCCAATTCAACGGCAGCAAGAGCTTTGGATCCTGGAGTTAGCCCGGGGTGTGGGAAGAAAACACAAGGAGGCTGAGAAAATGAAAGAGAAGCAGCACAGACTTAAGCAAGAGAATGCCAACCTCAAATCCCAAATTGAGCAACTGAACAAGCTACAGCAACCTAAGGAGTTCAGGCTTGCCCCGCCAGTCACAATTCCGCTTGAAAGGGAGCTGCTTTCCCTTTCTTACGAGCAAGCTGTCAAGGGTGGAAGGGCTGTAGGTTTCTCTATCGAGGATAACCAACTCGACCTCGGTGCTCTCGTGACCAGATCCATTGAACGCTGGAAGAGTGTTATTGCTTCTTCAAGGGCCAATGCTGCTGGGATGAACGCCCAGAGGACGTTGGACCAAGCCAGCCAGAATCAAGCCTCTTCCGCTACTGTCAACGGCACTCAACCAACGCCACAAATCCAGACGCCATCTCAGCCACATTTTCAAGCACAACAGCAGCCGCAGCAACATCAACATCAACCGCAACGCCCACAGCTTCCCAAACGTCAGTCAACAACTAGCATTAACGGTGCCCCGAGCGAGCATGCCACTACTTCGGCCTCGACAACTGGTCCGTCATCAATCGCCGAGGCCAGTGATCAAGATGCCGATGCCGAGATGGAGGATGATGATAGCTTCGCCATGGTGAATGCATCTCCAGTCAAGCCTCAACCACCTGTCCAGCAACAACAAACTCTAGAAGTACCACGAACGCGGCCTACCCAACAACAGCAACAACAGATGCAGCAACAACAACAACGAGCTGCAGCACAGTTTATGATGTCCAACGGAGCTGGGAGCCCTATCAACCGAAACGCCATTAACATGAGTCGTTCGATGCCAAATATGAATATGGCGATGCAAAATGGAGCAATGCATGGTGCAGACATGGCCATGGCTATGCAGGGGGTACGCGGGGATGCCATGTTTTTAGAATAAAACAATGATTTCAGTTGGGCGGCTAAAGTTGAGAATCGCAATAGCTGATTGGCTAACAAAAAATGTATATAAGTAATGACGGAGACTCAGAGCTAGATACAACCTGCTCATGATTCAATAATATGACCAAATTCGGAGAGCTTACTACTTCTATTGCTTGGTTCTCGTGGTCTTTTGCCGTATTTAGACATTTCTACCAATGAGTTTATCTGTGGCTGTGCTCACACTCAAGAATGAATGGATTGCCTGACTGAAAGTTTACCCCGCGATTGTGGCGCCCAAACCAATGGATTTCTTCTGCCCCTCCAATGCCCTGACTGTTTCCACTGACTCACCACATCCATCACAGCTTGACTCAATTTGCCGGCAGCAGAGACTTAAATCAGGAACTGTCGCCTGATTTGGAGATCTGCCATTTCAATTATCCCCACCGCGAAACGAGACACAATCATGGCTGACGCTGCTGCCCCCCCGACCGAGCAGGTCGCCAACCTTCACCTCGATGAGGTAACTGGTGAGAAGGTCTCCAAGACCGAGTTGAAGAAGCGTCAGAAGGCCCGCCAGAAGGAGGAGGAAAAGAAGAAGAAGGCTGCTGAGCGTGGTCCTGCTCCTGCTCCCAAGAAGGCTGCTGGCGGTGCTGAGGCTGCCGAGAAGGACCTCACTCCTAACCAGTACTTCGAGATTCGATCAAGGAACATCAACAAGCTCCGCGAGACCAAGAGCCCCAATCCTTACCCTCACAAGTTCAATGTCACATACGATCTGCGAAACTTTGTCAAGGAGTTCGGACACCTCAAGTCTGGCGAGCACGCCAAGGACAAGATTATCCAGATCGGTGCCCGAGTCCACGGAAAGCGAGCATCCGGCTCCAAGCTTCTTTTCTACGATGTCCGAACTGAGGGCGTCAAGGTCCAGATTATGTGCCAAGCGCAAGAGGTGCGAGAGGGAGCTCCCGCTTTTGATGCTCAGCACGAACACCTCCGCCGAGGTGATATCATTGGTGTTATTGGCTACCCCGGCCGGTAGGTTACTGACTATCCTAGACCCAGAACATATACTAATGAACTGCAGAACTGCCCCTAAGACCAAGCTTGAGAAGGGAGAGGAGGGTGAGCTGTCCATCTTCGCGACTGAGGTCGTCCTCCTGACTCCTTGTCTTCATGCCCTCCCTGATGACCACTACGGCTTCAAGGATCTTGAGCAGCGATACCGCAAGCGATATCTCGATCTCATCTGCAACGAGAAGGCCCGTAATGTTTTCATTACTCGATCCAAGATGATCACCTGGATCCGCCGATACTTTGACGAGCGTGACTTCGTCGAGGTTGAGACTCCCATGATGAACCAGATTGCTGGCGGTGCCACCGCCAAGCCCTTCACTACTCACCATAACGAGTACGACATGCAAATGTTCATGCGCGTCGCTCCTGAGCTGTACCTCAAGATGCTTGTTGTTGGTGGCCTTAACCGCGTGTACGAGATTGGACGTCAATTCCGAAACGAGGGTGCTGATCTCACCCACAACCCTGAGTTCACTACCATTGAATTCTATGAGGCCTACGCCGATGTCAACGACCTGATGGACACCACTGAGGACATGGTTTCTGGCCTTGTCAAGTACCTTACCGGTGGCTACAAGACCACCTTCCACACCCAGACCGGCGAGAAGTACGAGGTCAACTGGGAGAAGCCCTGGCCTCGATATGAGATGATTCCCACTCTGGAGGAGGCTACCGGAGAGAAGTTCCCTCCTGGTGACCAGCTCCACACACAAGAGACCAACGAGTTCCTCAAGAAGATCCTCAAGAAGATGAACCTGGAGTGCACACCTCCTCTCACCAACGCCCGCATGATTGACAAGCTGGTTGGTGAGTTCATTGAGGAGAAGTGTGTCAACCCCTCTTTCATCACTGGTCACCCTCAAGTCATGAGTCCTCTTGCCAAGTACCACCGTGAGATTCCCGGTCTGTGCGAGCGTTTCGAGGCCTTCGTTTGCAAGAAGGAGATCGCCAATGCCTACACTGAGTTGAACGATCCCTTTGACCAGCGTCTGCGTTTTGAGGAGCAGGCTCGCCAGAAGGACCAGGGTGATGACGAGGCTCAGCTCATTGACGAGAACTTCTGTACCTCGCTTGAGTACGGTCTGCCTCCTACTGGCGGTTGGGGTATGGGTATCGACCGAATGGTCATGTTCTTGACTGACAACTACACCATCCGTGAGGTTCTTGCTTTCCCCTTCATGAAGGATGATAAGCTGGAGCAGAAGAAGCTTGCCGCTGAGGTTGCTGGCATTGAGCCCATGCCTGAGGAGGGCATTGGTAAGTCTGACCACCCCTGAACCCGAGGACAGAATACTGACTTATTTGAGTAGCTCACAAGTAAAATGGGAAAATGGGATTTACTGGGTTAACTGATAAGTTGGAATGCATGATTTTACGCTGTGACAACGACATAAGAATGGTCAGACTTCCAGTCTGATGGAATTAGAAAGAAAATAAAATGTTTTATAAACCATGTTGAGGATTCTTCTAAGAGTCGAGTGTGTCCAAGATGTTCATTATATGTGTCGTTTGGCCAGCGTACTAGCCTTCCGGTTCCTTATTATATTGATGCTATTGGGTACCATATTGTACAAGAATAATATACATGCTGTTCTTCGGCATCTTACAACGTAGCCAACTCGTTTATTTGGCAGCAGCCTGCTTCAGTCGCTGCTCAAGGAGACGAAGAGTGGGCTTGGGAATATGTAGTCTGTGAGCCAAAACCAGAGCCATGGTCAACACACCAAGAGCACCCGCCTGATGAGCTGCGGCGAGGGAAATTGGCACCATATAGATGAGAGTGCTGATGCCGAGGGCAACCTGCAAAGACACAACGTGGAAAAGGCCATCGGCGCCCTTCTTGATGTTGGCCGGGAGGATAGCCTTAACACGTCTCGTGCGTGCGTAAATGAAGAGCGAGAGAATGGAGCAGAAGGTAGTCACAGCAAGAATTCGGTGGTTCATCTGAACAGTGCTGGGGTTCTCAAGCATGTTGCGCCACCAGAGATCAGACTGGTCCTCCTTACGAGAGTAGAACTTGTCCCAGAGTTCCTGCTGGGGGGGGAAGAGACCAAGACCCATCTTAGGGAATTCGTTGTAGATCAGACCGGCATCGAGACCGGCAACAAGGCCGCCAGACATAGCAGTAATGAAGGTCAGAGTAGCAAGGGTGAAGACAACACGGCGCATAGTGCGGAGACCGGGCTGGCTCATAGCACCAATCTGTTTCATGGCTGCTTCGGGGTTCGCGAGCCAGCGACGAGTTCGGAGAACGGTCAAAGCAGAGAGAAGCATCCAAGAATAGCAGATAAAGGCGGTACCAAGGTGAGTGGTGAGGCGGTACTGGGAGACTCGGGGGTGAGAACCAGGAGCAAACAGGTCGTCCTTGAGACCAGACTTGACCATCCACCAGCCAATGATACCCTGGAAACCGATCAATGCAGAGATTCCAGCAAGATTCAATGCCATTTTAGGTGTAACTTTGCGGCGGGCGACGAGATAGGCGGTAGGAATGACAAAGGTCAGGCCAATAACTCGACCCCAGACACGGTGAAACCATTCCATAAAGTAGATCTTCTTGAATTCTCCGAGGTCCATATGAGGGTTGAGAAGCTTGAACTCGGGCGATGCACGGTACTTTTCGAACTCGGACTCCCAATCTTCTTTGGACATGGGAGGAAGCGAACCGGTGACAGGTCTCCATTCAGTGATACTCAAGCTGTTTTGACGTTAGCTGGCTATTCAATTGGTCTGTAGCGGGCATAGAGAAGCATACCCAGACTCGGTCAAACGAGTTAGACCACCAAAGACGACAATACCAAAAACACTAACAGCGCTGCCGAGGAGCCAGTAGCCCACACCCTTGGGGTTTGACTCAGGCCATGCTTTCTTGGTAGCTTGAGAGACAGAGGGAGATGCGCGGGCAGAGACCTGCTCGGCGATAGTTCCAATTGGTTTGTTGATTGCGGAATCGGCATAGGATCGTGATCGGACAACGTTGAGAACGCGTGAGGGCATGCTCCGGGGAGCAGTTCGAAGGCATTGGTTACAGACAAAGAACTTTGAAGGACCAGACGCTGTGGCCGTGGCCTGGAATAGTAACCTCCGGAGCCCGGGGGCAAAGGAAGACGCCATGATCGAAGCCAATTTTCAGAGGTTGAACGAGCGAGATTGGGAGGAATCGAATTGGACGACGAAGACGAAGAAGAAGTGGCTCACTTATAGATCATACGAGACCTTGGCCATGAAATTCGACATCCGATGTGACTCGGTATTCGGTGCTAGACCTGGTCCGTAGTGGAAACTGGAAAGGCCCTGGTAGTCTTCAGTGGGATCGACCCCACTAGAATCAGCAATTTACAACGTCTATGATAGGCTTATCTCACACGCCATTTACACTCCATTACACGCATGGGTATGTATAGTGCCCCGCCAAGGGTCATCTCACCGCCAAACTTTTTTACACGGCAGAAAAGTTGGAAAAAAGTGTTGCTCTGAAGAAGCTGTGTCGACGCTATTCAACCATTTCACGCCGGTCCGCGCAACGCCCACACCTCGATAAATTGGATACCAGTACTTGGTTATAAAAATGGGCGGAAGACAGGCTCACGGGCGACCCCTTGTCGCAGCTCCCAAAGCCAAGGCTGGCAACAAAAAGTCCAAGGCGAGATCACAGAAGAATGCGCTCGATGCATTCGGTATCGCACAGGAGAACTTTGCGCCGAAGCAGAAGCGAACGCCTCGAGCGAGAGAATTAGACGCTGAAATCGAGCGAAAGCATGGTCGCGATGAAGAAGAGGACGAGGACGAGGAGGAAGAGGTGGAGCCACAGAGAAAGAAGGTCAAGAGACCTAGTCGGCCAACAAATGACGATGTCGATGATGGTAGCGATAGTGAAGGAAACGAATGGCGACTGGGAGGTTTAAGAGATGACGACGAGGATTCGGAGATTGAGAGTGACGATGCGTTTGGCGACAGCGATGAAGACAAGTTCGAGGGCTACACGTTCCGTGGTAGCAAAACAACACAACGTGAGGTAAGTGTATTCTGTTCTCGAAAATCTGATCCTTGTCTAACACTTAAAAAGGATGATGACTCAGAGGACGATTCCCAAGACGACGAGGGCGAAACACTGGGCGCAGATGCTATCGATCTAGCAACAGCTCTGGACCAATTCGAGGAGTCAGACGATGAACCCGTGCAGAAAGATCACTCCGGATCGTCAGATTCTGATGACGATGCATCTGACGAATCGGAAGAAGACGACGATAGTGATGATGACGAGAGCGATGATGAGGAAGCTAGTCCGGAGAAGCTCGAGGCTCTTCAAGGCATGATCAAGGGATATGGAGGTCAAAAGGACGACGAGGACGACAAGCCCAAGTCAAAAGCCAAGATCAGTCTTGCTGATTTAGGAATGACGAGCATCAACGACGTCAATGTGAAGAAGTCTATGAAGCTGATGAGCAAAGAGGAGAAGGAGAAGCGTCCCGGTGCTTCCAAGAAGCTGGCTGTGCCTTTGGCAAGAAGACAGCAGGACCAACTTGATCGAAGTGCAGCCTACGAAAAGACCAATGAAACCCTGGATCGATGGAACGACACCGTTAAGCAAAACCGAAGAGCTGAGCATCTTATGTTCCCTCTACCTCAGAATTCAGCGACTGCCGGTCTCGATACTACCGAGATACAGCCTCTTAATGTGTCAAAACCCAGCAACGAGCTCGAGTCTGCTATCATGTCCATCATGGAGCAGAGCGGTCTCACAATGGAAAAACCACAAAAGCCAAAGGAGAGGGACTATGATGAAGAGGGCAATGAGCTCACCCGCAAGGAGGCTCTTGCACGCAAGCGTATGGAACGTGAACTTAACTCTCGAGAGGCTAAGCGAGCCAAGCGCATCAAGAAGATCAAGAGCAAGGCATATCACCGCGTGCACAGAAAGCAGCGTGAACGCGATGAAATGGCTACAAAAGAGGCTATGGAAGAGGCTGGCGAGATTGACTCTGAGGAAGAGCGTGAAGCACAAGACCGCCGGCGCGCGCTTGAGCGTGTTGGCCAGCGACACAAGGAGAGCAAGTGGGCCAAGATCGGCTCCAAGACAAAGCGAGCCGTATGGGACGATGACTTCCGCGCTGGTCTGACTGAGATGGCGCGCAAGGACGAGGAGCTTCGAAGGAGAAAGGAGGGTCGTGCTGGTAACTCTGACGATTCGTCTGAGTCAGACAGTGACTCCGACGGAGGCGATGCTTCTCTGCGTCGACAGCTGGCGGCTCTTGAGGAAGAAGAGGATGAGCCTCAGAAGGGTCTAATGGGCATGAAGTTCATGCAGAAGGCCGAGGCCGCCAAGAAGGAGGCGAACGATGCTCTCATCAAGCAGATCCGACGAGAGCTTGATGGCGAGGAGTTTGATGGTTCTGCTGATGAGCTCGAGGAAGTGGGCCGACGCCAATATGGTGCTGCAGATGGCCAGCCATTTAAGCCTGCTTTCGAGAAGTCTACCAAGGTGTCTAAGAAGCGCAAGTCTGAGGATGCTGATGATGAAGATGACGACGATGTCACAATAACCACCAATGGTGCTGGCATTAACCCTGCTATTCCCAACATTACATCCCTCTCCGAACCCGCCTCTTCAGGAACCACAGGCGCATGGTCCCGCGGCGAGACACGCCGCAAGAAGAAGGGCCAATCTAGCACACACATCGGTGATCTCGACCTCACATCCAACGTCCTTGTCGCTTCCAAGCCTAGCAAGTCCAAGTCCAAGTCAAAAACACAAACGGCTGAGGATGCTTCAGACGTCGAATCCGAGACAGACCTGCATCTGCCTATGGCGATCCGCGATCAAGAAATGGTTGCTCGTGCCTTTGCCGGCGAGGACGTGGTCGGTGCCTTTGAAGATGAAAAGACAGCTATCGCTGAGGAAGAGGACGACAAGGTCGTCGATAACACACTGCCAGGTTGGGGATCATGGGTTGGTGATGGCGTGAGCGCCAAGGAGAAGAAGCGTCACCAGGGCCGTTTCTTAACAAAGGTTGATGGTATCAAGAAGAAGGATCGTAAGGATGCCAAGCTTGACAAGGTCATTATTAACGAGAAGCGCATCAAGAAGGTAAACAAGCTCACTTTCACTATTCGTCTTTACAACATGCTAATAACTTGTAGAACGACCGCTATCTCGCATCTCAGCTTCCTCACCCCTTCGAGTCTCGCCAACAGTACGAGCGCTCGCTGCGTCTACCTGTTGGACCAGAGTGGCAGACAAAGGAGACCTTCCAGGACAGCACCAAGCCTCGTGTGCTCATGAAACAGGGCATTATTGCGCCCATGTCCAAGCCTACTATTTAGAATTTTCGATATATACTCTGAGGTACATACATTGGCGTTTTGAGAATCAAAAGCATATTTCATCTATATCCTCTGCTATTGAAGTGGTGACCTGTGTGATGTCTTGTATCCTAGTTCTGTAAGACATATCGGATGGTCTAAGTAAAGCTTTTGAGGAGTATGGTAACATTCCTGCCATCTTGTACAGATATGTGATGAATGTTGATTGCGCCAACTTATTTGATGAGCAACACATCTCGTCCACGCCGGCTCGTCTCACTTCATTCAAGTTCATCTTCAAACTCGCCATTCTTGGATCAGCATCCAGCTCACGACTTCACTCAATAGGTCTAACGTCCATCTGCCGTTTTTCCACTGGCAGGCAATCTCCAAAGATATCACTTGACCCCTTGGTGTTTTACAGACTGGCGACATTGTTACGACTACTTCACCAGTGACAAAGAGTAGATCAATCTTAAAAATATTGATTAACTACCCAATCAACCTTTACGTGCCTGAATTCCATCTCCGACCTCGCAGTCCAATGATATAAGCAAGAAAAATCCAATAAGCACAGAGACCAGCAAGGCCATTTCCTATTCCTCGTTTCTTTTGACACAATGAAATTTCGCGAATGCGACTGAACCTCCTCATTCCTCTCCTGTTTCATTCCAGAGTTTGATGATGGAGTGTCTGGGACTCCTGTGAAGCAGTCCTATCCAGCGGTCTGCATCCGCTTAGTAATACAAATATGAAAGTTGACTCGGTTATCCGACTGTCTTTTGGCAGATCGTTGAAGCCACAGTTTCCGGTGGCATTTCCGGCTATCCATAACAAGCTTCTCGAGGAGACAAGTCACTCGATGGTAGTCAGAACATGTTTAAAAACATTAGTTGATTGATTGATGATTAAGACATCAGGGGAATGCAAGCATTTAGTTGCCGGGGTCCAAGACATCGGATGGGGTGGCATAGAAAGCCAATGCGATGATAATATAGAGACCCATAAGCATAGCACCCTCTAGGTAGTTGGATTTGCCATCCTGGACAATATACGAAACAACGAGGACAGAAACTCCAAAGGCAACAGTTTGGACTGGGAAGTTTGTCAGTAAATATTACGCAGAAAGCAAAGGATCAAACTCACAAGTCTCGAAGTGAAGAGTCATGGGGGCACCAATGATCCAGCCAACAATGACGAGGAAGGGCGTAACCAGGAGGGCAATCTGGATAGAAGAACCAACTGCAACACCCATGGCGAGATCCATCTTATCACGGAGGGCGACGACAACAGCAGTGACGTGCTCAGCAGCATTGCCAACAATAGGAATCAAGATCAGACCAATAAATCCGCGGCTAATTCCGGAGGTCTTGACAAGATCATCAATGCTGTCAACCAGATAATCGGCGCAGAGAGTGACAAAAATGGTAGTGACACAGAGAACGGCGATAGCGGCAATAGGTCCAATAGTAGGCTCCTCTGGCTCAACCTCCTCGCCGTCCTCGTTCTGGTTCTCTGCGTCGAAAAGGTTGCTGTGTGTTCGGAGCTGGAAGACGAGATATAAGACGTAGAGCAGGAGAAGAATGATGGCAGTGCCATGAGAGAGTGTAAGGATGCTCTGGGCCTTGTCCTTGGAACCACTCTGGTCAAGAACTGCGTAGAGCTATAAAAATTAGTCGAGTCTTCGAGCAGGGTTTAATTTGACATACAGCAGCAGGGAGGACGAGCGAGGCCGAAGACAGGGTCATAAGGGAGCAAGTTGTCTGTGCAGTGGCTGAAGAAAATGACTGCTCTCTGCCATTGCCCGACTC